TTTTTTCCAAAACGATAGAGGCATATATATCAACCAAGAACAAAAGTTTGAGTACAAGAAACTCTAACAAACTAAAACTGAGAGGACATGCAACAATGCGGCCTAGAACCTCAACAAAACACATTAACCAAACTAGGACGAAACAAAGATCCTCAACTGCAAGAAGCCTACAAGATCACTAGAATAACAAAAGAAACCACATAAAACAAACCAAAAGAAAAAGGATCTAATAAAAGTCTCGCATCCCGACCGGCTGGAAATCGTCTCGAGCTCGCTCTCCTCGCCGGTAGAATGCGGAACCTGCACGTAACTCTCACACCGGGGTGGTGTTCCAGTGAAGAGCCTCCAACGCTCAAGTTAGATCTTGAGAAAGATGAGAATATATGTGCAAGTATGTAAAAGTATCAGATCTCCTCTAAAATGAGAGTTCTCGCCCCTATTTATAGGGGCGAGTTACCTGTTCTACACGCGCGACTTGGGCGAGTCCGGTTGACAACCCTTGCTCGTCCGTACGGTTGCGCACCTCCACTACCTTTTGGTGTCAGAAAATGCGTCAGATGTGTCAGGGAATGTCAGAGTTCGTTATTGTGTTGGACCACTCTTAACGTGCCGCGTGTCCCCTTTCACGTGCTGAAGATTTGCTCATTTATTCTGTCCTTCGACCAAGTCTGTCGTGATTACTGGATCGTCCCACGAATGCTAAGTGGTCGACTCTATGACCTCGCTGCTCGACCAGGTATTTGCCCGACGCCACTGAATTGGCTCTTCTTTGTCTTCTATTTCTTACCTTAGTCGCGGGTGTCAAGTCCTTTTCGACCAGACCATTAACCTGCTTTAATTCGGTTGACCCTGACAAATCGGTCAAGTATACAATATCCCATATCATCTAGGCCCCCCCACTCTGGTCGAGTCTGAATGACTTGATCGAAGAGTAGGTTTTGTCTGTGTCACCGAGGTCTTATTCTATTATTTTGACCACCTGAGGAGCTTTTTAACCTTTCGCGACCATCATCCATCGTAACCGCCATTTTGCCTTTTTGAAATTTGAATTTCACCACTTGTCCGCCTTTTCGGATGCGTCTTTTCGCCTGTCACGCGTCATCAT